CTAAGTAAATTCTTGTTTTAATTTTATATTAACCCGAAAAATATATTTTGTTTTAAAGAAATTATTATTAAAAAAAAAAAAACTAATAGTTTTACTAATAGTAAAATAAATAACTTAAATAGCAATATAATTAATATATTATAAAATATACTTTATACTTAATATAGGTTGACAGACATTCAGACATTCTTCGCTTAGAAAGAGTAAGTAATGATTTATCAATTTGACACATAATAGTAGGTACCTACATACATTACAAGGACTTACTCCACGATGGCGAATCATACTCAATACCAATTGTATGTACAGCAGATGAGCGGCTACCTACTTTCACAATTTTTTTTTATTTAACATGTATACTTGGGTACAAGTCGATACAACTAAAAATGTATGACTTTAAGGTTATATTATTTTTATACTAACTTAGTTTAACTTGAATGGTCTTAACTGTGTTTTATATTTTATCGTTTAATTATCCTTATAAAATCACAGCAAGCAAAAAGGGTTGAAATTCGGTGGGCCGCGATGAATATTATAATAACATGAAGTTAATAGTTTTAATGCGGTGTAATAAATTATATTATATCGATTTAACAACAATCATTTATTATAGTGCTTACTGTGTGGTGTGTTAAAGAACGATTCCACTTGTTCAGACACCGGTTTAACCATGATGACGAATCCCAAAATTAAATGTCCAGCCATCAAAACAATCGCCGCGTACGATAGCCAAGATTCACCGAGGGACATGAGGATGTTGGGATTAATTGTATGGCCATATACGATGTATCCTCCAACAACAATTGACCCGAACAGAATAGTCAAAACTGAAACAAGGATAAAAAATAAATAAATAACCACACATGCCTGAAATAGTATTTGATTAATCAATCATGTTTGTCGAAACAAATAACAATACATAGATATAATAAAGGTAGGTAGCAGGTAAGTCAAATAGTTCTTCGGGAGGTGATGTGAGCAACATCTTTCATACAAATACTCGTAGAGAGACATCGAAATGCGAGGTAATGCGAAACTCATCCATTTACAATAATTTAAATCGTCACATATTTTATTAATCCGTAAATCACCATAAAGTAATTTATAAGCCTACGAATGTATTTCTATGTTATGCTAATACTTATTACTTATATCTTAATTAAATATTAAGATATTGTAGACAAATAATATACTGTTACAGCAGAGGCGGGTGCATTCAAAATAGTGAATTCAAAATATTGTTTGCAAATATTTTCCCTAGTATTATTATGTCAATCAGACGCCTAAAATTTATACCAGGGTACTTATCGGTTATCATGCCACCTATTATACGATTATTCAGTAACCACATCCATTTACTCCACCTAAAAAAGATAACATGTTTTATTAATAATAGCAATATACTCACCGATAAATGAGGTTACCACGCTGCGCGAAAACTCGTCCCGTTTGAACATTTGAAAACGGATAACCGGGAATGATGCCGCTCCACCATAAGAGAAAAGTATTGATCCAAAGGACAAGAAAAATTGGTTGGCTGACATAATTGTATGTGTGTCGGTCTCCGAGCCTTCTTTGATACGTTCGTCCAGTAACATTTGCATTAGGATGAAGTAACAGGACGTCATCGTCGTGAGTAACGCACCGACGGCCACTATACTGTTCATGATAAAAACATATTATTGTAAGATTAACAATCATAATTTATTTATATTATAACTTTTTTATAGTTTATATAGTATTCAAGTAGATACATTATAACTGTCAATTGTCATCTGTAATAATGCGTTTAATATCACATGCCTCCGACAACGGTACTGTTGCTATATGTTGCTCACGACTCATGAGACTTCGTGATATGAAAGTTTCACTGTATTACCCACTAATAATTTTTTTTTAAATCAAACTTCTTTACATAGTGAACAACGCCGAAAAATTTGTAACGAAATTATGCTCACGGTTTCATGCTCATGACACGCTAATTTTCATGAGAACGAAAAATACATAAAATATAAATCATATAAATCCGATTATTATTATTTTTATTTATTTAGATACACATTTAACAGTTAGAGTGGAATAGTGAGAAAAAGAGGCGTCGTTTTAATAGATATATACTGTAAGTTACTTCAATTTGTATGCTTATAATATATTATTAGTATCATTATTGTTTATTTAGATAGTTAATAATTATGAAGATCTTAACGATTGCAGGTTGTACTATGGTTAAAACTTATGCTGAAAGATGTCGTTTATTAAGTAAAATTAATAAAGAGAGTAAATGAATAAGTAGAATAAATAAAAAGAATCAAATATATAAATCATGAACTTGAACCTAAAATCCTAACAATTTATGCAAGTCCTTGATGCGAGATTGTTCATTTTCAAATATCACTAAAAAGGAACAACAAGAAGTTTCGTAACTTCATACGCACGTGCAAGCACATACACATTTTTTCAATATAACAGAAACATGTAAAGGTACTTACCAATAATCCTTCGGCGACTCCAAAAACATGAGCGAACTTAAAGAAACAGAAAACACAAATAGCCAGGTAGAAAATTCGATTTCTGGATGTGTGCCCAAAAACAATTTCTGGGCAGACTGCGCTATTAGCATTAAGTATACTGTTGCTGATCCAAACAGTGTTATATGAATGCACGCTTTTGTCAGGTAACTAAAAACCACACTAATAAGTTAAAACAATTACATGTGTATAGTATCTCCAATTTTTGACAAAAGTTTATATTAATAGTATTGTGATTATAGTTGTGTAAGTCGCTATATTGTCGCGGAAATATATAAACGACCCTGGCAACTGGGAACAATGACTTTCGGCGTATTTGAATTTAGAATATTTACACATTGTAACCAAAAATTTCGTTCACGAGGACGTACAAATTAATTCGATCTACAATAGCAAATATTACTAATAGTTAAATAAGATACTTTAACGGTAACATAAATGTATAATTAAATAAACTTAGTAATAAATTGGTTGACGGACTGTCTCTGCTCAGAATCACTTTTCGTATGTAATGATTTATCATTGAATTCAAATTCAACAAATACATTACAATGACTTACTCAATGACGAGTTCAACACACGATATCTACTGTAGGAGAAGTAACTGTAAAGCAGAGCAATTATCTACTGCTTCCACCTTTTTTTAATTGTAATGTAGATATATACGAAAGTCATCGTTCATCTGTACATTGTTGTTGATAAGGCAATAACAATGACAGATCGTGAATAATATGAGTTACATATTAATGTATAAATACCTAGTCCGTCGGCCGATAGCATGCATGGCAATCGTAGGATATGGGTCGGGTATGGGGTATATCCGATACTGAGGATACCTCTCCTCGATGATTAACCAACATGTACCCAAACATGAAGCACTGTAGGCAGTGGCGATGCCGAATGTAATTAATAATATAAATCCCATCCATCCTGAAAACAATGAACACAGGTCATAATAATCAATCGGGTTAAAAAGGGTACTTATACTAATATATACCTACATCTATGATATACATGTATTGTAAACCTCCTGCAAGTTATTATAGATATAATCGTTCATATGTGATGCTGGGAGGGGGAGGGGAGGTTAATAAATTATGAATAACTACGAATAACTATGAATATATAACTATGGATAACTATTATGAATTTCTATTTTAAACAATATTATAGTAGAATAAAGTTACATTCCAATAAAAAAAGAAACTAATTGTTGCACTGTGATCGGTTAGTGAAAAATTGACGAACACCTCGCGCACATTATAGATTTGACCCAGTGTTTTGAATAACGACCTTCCCAGTTTTCTACATATTATGTATAGTTATGTAATTATTTAAAAATTGCATAAAAAAAATTAAAAAGTGTATTGCCTGCAGTCTCAAAAGTGTACCTAACAATATATACAAATGTACTTCAAATAATATGGCAAGTACACCTTATATGTACCCAATAGTCTAATTTAATTGTAAAAATATAATAATATTGTGTTATACCATACAAAATATGATTACCCATTTAGGTATAGGTAAAAGAAAAATATTAGAAAACCTAACCTGATAGAACGGTGTATTTTTTCATAGAAAAGTTCAAATATATATATATATATATATAATATATATATATACATATATATAAGTAAATGTATTAAATTTTACTATTGCTTTCAAACTAACTATCAAACTATCGTCCTAAATAATTACAACTGTATGTTACACGAAACATATTGTGGTACATTGTACAATTATTACAATCAGAGACTTACCTAAGTTAACCACTGCCCACGGAGCGGCGAGCATTCCGATTCCAGCCATCTCACCTGATATGAACACAACAGCAATACCAGTTATGAATCCACTAGAATAGTTATCATCAGTGCTTGATATCGCTCCCTGTAAAATTCAAAAAGTTAACATTTGTCTACAAAAATTAATTTGTGGACTTATTATATGTAAGAATATTGACTAAGGCCGTCATTTCAGTATTTTTTTTTGCAGTTATACGAGCTTTATAGGTACGTAATTTTCAACATTTCACCTGGCCGTTCAACACAATATTATGTATACAAAATGTATATATGTATATTGTATATTTATTATATTCTCCTTTCATTTTATAATATTAAATCCTAATACTGACTTCAATAATTATTATCAACTTATGCAATTTTCAAATAGCAAAAAATTAATAAATTAAAAGATTATATAAGCAACAATCAATATGTCATAACTGTTGGTAAAAAGTATTATATGATTTTATATAATTATGATTGTTAACAGATAACAACACCGAAAAATGTATCATGTATGCATATTTTAATACGAATATTCGTATTAAACATGAATGAATAATGTATAACGTAGGTATAAGATTATTATTATGACAGAGTGCTGGACCAAATGAAAGTTCAACTAACAATAATTATGAGTTATAGCGGTGTCATTGCATTTCCTCCTCCCAAAAAAAATTTTTTTACATTAGAAACGTGTACAATATACTTCTTAAAGAATTATTTTTAATGATTGTCAAATAAAAGAATCAACATAATTTCTCACGATTTTCACGGGATGTTAACACTATTATTATTATTTTATATAATGAATTGTTATTTTGTTGATATAAATGTTCTTATCGGTTATGTGCATACAATAATATAAATAATATCATATTATTATTGAATGGTTGATACAACGAATATGAATTACATAGTACTTTTTGGCTAACTAAATTATTATCATCTAGATAGAATCGTTATAACTATAGTTCAGAACCAAAAGGGGTTATTTAAATCACTATTAAATAACATATATGTAAATATTTATTGTATTTATTTTTTCATTTAAAGTTTTTATTATAACTTATAACATAACTTACAAATTTGTATTATAAATACCGCAATATTGGCAAGACCAATACCATGTTTTCAGTGTATCCATATCGTACTTATTACAAAGGCGCAAATAGGGACATAGGGACGCTCAACTCCCTCCCCCCCCCCAAAAAAAAAAAATAGTTAACGAATATTTTTATCATTTACATAGATATAAGTATATTACGAATACTTAATAGGTATTCATAGTATATTCAATTGTTATAAGTACAGACTCTACAACTATTTTATTTCTATTAATCGTTTAATAAATATCATCTAAAAAAATAAATTCTATATTATATTATTAATATCTAGTATACACTTAACGAAATAAGTAGATAATTGTTAAACATACTTATAAAGACCTTTGATTCGCTTACATAATAAAGCTCCAAGGCATTAAAAAAATAACATAATGTTTAAAATATATGTTTACAGGTTTTTTAGAATACCTACCAACGATTACAGTGTGAAAGCCCCATATTACATAGTTTGGTTGCCTACGAATTGCATAACGAGTTAGTATAACATCATTTTGTGCCTCCCCCCCCCCTCAAAAATTAAAAATATCAGTATGGCTTTGTTTCAACACAATACATTTTCAAATATCTGTAATGATAAATTTTAAAATTATAAAAAATACAAAAAAATTTGTGAGTTTGAAAACTATAGTATTGCATAAAAGTTCCAGTTGTGCCATAACCGTATATAAAAAACGGGTAAGTGGGTGTCGCTCTGCCGAACAGTAGGTTACAAGTTGGGGACTGTAATGGATGGTGCTAAATTTGAACGCAATAAGATAAAATCATTGTGTAAGAAAAACGATTCTGAACAAAGACGGAGTCTATTAGCCTATAATATTACTTAGTAATTTAATATATTTGATGATATTATTGTGATTGAAGTAATTTATTTTAATATTAAGCATTAGTATTACACCAGGTTAAATTCATTTTCGACAAAAAAATTTCATTTGAAAAGTCATTGTGTGCATACAATATAATAATATAGTATATAGCATAATATAGTATATTACTCCAGAAGTTTTAAGTAGGTACCCACGGAAGAATAATTTTAAATTATAACAATTTAAAGTTTAAACATAAAATAACTATAAAAAAAAACTGTGTTAATGCATTTTTTAGATTTTTTGGTAACAGAATTAACTAATTGTGTGCTACTTTGTTTTACATTTTTGATCTTTAGCCATAAAAGTTGAAAATTTTATAAATATTTAACTGAAAAAAAATTTGTTCATTTTCAATTCGATAATTTTGCCGTAATTGTAACTTTAAATGCTTATAAAACAAAAATGTACATAAGTATTTTTAATATTTTACAACTGATATTGTAATAATATATCAGGAGCCTTGTATTACATTTTTAAGCTTTTTGACAGAGCCAACACATTTTATTGACATTTATAGAAAAAAAAATAAACAAATTAGAAACAGAAAATGTCCATAAACAACTTAAAACAAGTCAAAACGTTATGGTGTATATAGAAAATGCTAGTACAGTAATTCAGTGAAAATTTCATAAGTCTATGGTAATTTGTTTTAGAGTTACCGACACCAAAACCAAAATCGATTTTGTCAAAAACTGATTTTCAATAAAAATTCCCGTTTTCCTTATTTATTTTTGATTTTCCCGGCACTTTTAAAGACTATGAGGAATTTTAAATTTTGACCGCTCCAACTAGATTCATTTCACCGTCGAACAAGACGCTGAAGTTGAAAATTGAAGCATTATTTCAACTATTTATCGTGTAAACACAAATTTAAAAAAAAATTTAAAAAATAGAAAAATTGAAATTGTCTGTAAACATCTCAAAACGAATCAAAATATTTTGAAAATGTTGAAAGTTTTATCAAGTTTAATAACTAATAAAATAAACATATGGTGTACATTTCAAGTATCTAATGTTATTTGTTTTTGAATTACAACAAAACAAGAAAATCGCTGCATGAGAAATTGTGTGGATATACAATGTTGTACAAATTTCAACTTTAAACGCTCATAACTAGAGGTCGGATTTTTATGATTTTACATATTTGTTTCTAGTTTATGCAGTTAAATGGGAGTGAGAAATCTTTACGAATCATGAAACACAGAATTCACAGGAAAAAATTTATTTTGCATAAAAAAGCATATTTTAGAGGTTAGAGAATATTTAACACGTTAGAGAATATTTGGGAATATTTTTGTGATACCCGGCATATAATGAACATATTTCACGCATATCAGCATTTGATAAATACATTGTTTACTAAATTATTTATTTCCGGATTTTAATAAATATTAATCTCCAGGTATTCCTTATCGATTGCGAAAGCACAACGGTTATTTCGTTAGCTGACACGAATATACATCGAACAATATATAGTAATTAATTGTTATTGTAAAATTAATTTAATTAAATATTTTTAAAACCAAATTAATAAAAAATTAATTTAAACTGTTTTTTTTTTTATATCAAAAGAATATTTTGCATATTTAAGGACATAAAACATCATATATCTGGTATTTTAAAGGAATATTAAGAGAATATATTGCTTATTTTATGTGACATACAAACATCATATTTTAAGGATTTTAAAAGAATATAAATCCGACCTCTACTCATAACAATTTAATATGAATTTCCAATGGACATTTTTTTTTTTGACGAGGGTATATAAATGTACGGAATCTTGTATTAAATTTTAAAATCTATGATGTAAAAGGAACTTTTTTTATGAATTTCTAACTGAAAATATTTTGTGATTTTTTGTGATTTTTATGACTTTTATCAAAATTCTAACATCAAACGCTCATAGAAAAATATTCTGGATTTACACTATTTTTTTTTTTAATTATCACTTATAAAAACTTTGTATACATTTTCTATTTTTTTGACCAAGCTAAACATTTTTTGTCGAAATTAGTTAAAAACAAGATAATAATAATCGAACATTTCATATGCCTACCTATATATTATAGTTCAACACGACTCAAAATATTTTGAAAATCATATAATAAATATAACCATACTTATGAGAAATTGTCGATAAAAACATTCTGTGAAAATTTCATGTATCTACGGTCATTTTTCTTAGAGTCACATCAAAAACCAAAATCGATTTTGTCGGAAACGGTTTTCCGTAAAAATTCCCTTTTTTCTTTAATTTTTCGTTTGTTTTTCTTGCAACTTTTGAAAACTATTGGGAATTTTTTACTCTTGACCCTCCAAAGTACTAACTAGATTCACTTTCGTACCAGAAAAGATGCTGTCGATGAAAATCGGAGCAATTTTTACTGCTCCAAAAGTTGATGACAGACACAAAAAAACACACATCATTGTAAAGTCGTTCCGTTCAAAATCTAAAATACGCATCATTGTAATAACAATACATTTATTGCTTCGTGTTAGTGCACTAACAATCTAAAATGTTGATATGTCACATGCTTAGTTTAGGTGAAACAAAAAGTTAACTAACAATATTTCAATGTTACAATAAAAAAAAAATATTTTTGACTTTACTTAACTCAAAATGTTTGTGCTGTGTCAAAAATCTTAATCGACGGTAATTTAAGAAAATATTTCAAGTGATTATTATAATAATCTCAAAGTAATTTTCTAAAACTACATTATTTTAAAAATAAGACATGTTAACGGTGGTGTCATCCAAACAATGGGTAGCCGGTAGACATTGGAAACTAAAAAATTTAACGAATCAAAACAAAAATAATATCCGACGTGCTTTGAAATGAAACCACAGTAAAATAATAAACATATAACAATAATAATTTCTAATAATGTCTTATAACTAAATACCAATTTTAATTAAAACTATAAAAATAAATGAGTAATAACTATAGTAATAACAATTAACATCACGTTATACAGTCATAGATGCATAAATAAAATATAAGACGAACAGGACTAAACAACGCGTGTGAATAACTCGTCTCTTCCGTGTTCGTAAAATACGACTTAGGATAAAATATGGTAAAATATTATAATTAGTAACTTATAATTTTATGACGATTAGTAGAGCGGGGAGGTGCTCTAAAAACCAGTCAAATATGCACTCAAAAATTATCAAATGCATTTGACTCTATGTAATCATAAGCATTAGATAATATTATTAGTAAATAAATAATATTAATGATCATAGATCTTTCGATATTTTTTTATCTGAATATCATAGTTAACTACAGGCAGTGGCGGCGGGATATAATACTATTTGAAGCAATTGCTTCATGGCTTCAGAGCTTTAACATGGTAAATTATCATTTGATAATGTTTTTTGATGTAATAAAGGGGATGGTTGATGGTAAAAATATTAAAAATGTACAATTTGCTTCAAAGACTCAAAAAGTTCGCGCCGCCACTGACTACAGGTATTTATAACAGTGCTTAATATGTATCAATTAATAAAAAGATACCATGTTAAAGATATCGGGACTACTGGACATATCCAGGAAATCCGTATAATATACGTTTATACGTACATCGAGTACCGACTATTACAGTTTATTTCAATATCAAGCAAAAAATATAAAACCAAAATTCAAATAATAGGTATTTTTTTTTTTTTTGAATAAATAATTTTTTAGTTATTTGATTATTTCTATAAAACACCTACAATTTTCAATTAAGTCCAAAAAACATCATAAGGTCGAAAAATTAAAAACCTTCGTACATTTTTCGTGACATTCAACAACGTATAATTTATTTCTAATAATTTACCTCTTGTTGTCGTATTAAAGCCGATGATCCGTTTTCCAGTTGCTGTCCGTTATTGTAGTCGTTGGTCCCCGGGATAGGGCCCGGGACTGCTACCGCGGTGGCCGCGATCGACGGCGCTACCACGACCGCGGTAGGTGTGCTCATGTCGTTCATCGAGCCCGGGTTGCATGTGGGACACGCCGGATCGTAGTTTGAGTCGCCGACCTGCGGTATGCCGTGCACCAGGTGGCCGCGTATCTGAAAAACCCGCGGTTGTTCGTCCTCGTCCATCACCGACTGTAGGCTACCGCGTTCCGCAAAATCCGCATATATCATAGTTGTTGTTCGTCAATAGGTAGTTAATGGAATAACTCGACCACATTCGGTCTGCAGCGACAGTGTACAATGCGCATCTACGCACTCGGAGTCTCGACGGTGGAATGCCCGAATGATTGTCCTGGCTCGTGCGAGTGTTGATTAAATATCGCCGCCGAAGGGTCCCGGCCGCGGGAAACCTGATGTGGCGGGGAGACGACGCCGACCGTTCTCATTGGTCCGTCTACGCACTATTGCTCCGATGGTGGTGGTAAGCGGCGGGTGTGAATGCCCGACGAAGAACACACGCGCTTATATTATTATTATTATTATTATTGTCGTTGTTGTTGTTGTTGATATTGTTGTTGTAAGCTACGATGCACATTTTACGGACTCGGCGGCTGCCGCTGCGGCGCTGTCTCTGACACTATCGCAGTAAGTTGTTGTAGGTACGCCGACGGACGCACGCGCATCGATGTCGCCTCGGCTGTAATAGGCATTTTTGATTTTCCACTCGCACGTGTTTTTCGTCGTCCGCTCACTTCTTCTCGTCCGTCGTCTTTCCCGTCATCCAAGGCGCGCGCTACACGCACTGGCACATACGCACTACGCACATACGCACATACGCACACTCGCTCCGCCGCGGATTACCGCTCTCGCTCTTTCGCCCTTACACTCCCCGCGCCTAGCCCCGTCACTCGACATCGACACGCCGATACAGGCGGCCACCACGACTCTCGCAGCGCGCACATTATACCGACGGCGCGCGGCGGCCCACACGTTTCTTTCGGCGGCGTTGAACGCGCGCTATTATATTGAACTGCAAAAACAAACCGCTTCTTCGTCATGATGTAATGATATTATTATATTCGACGGCTGAAATGTTGATGATTATTGTGCCGTCCGGATTGGCCTAAACTCTCTACGCACATAACGCGATTATGAAACAGTATGAACATAATGAAATAATATTATTAATATTGTGATGCCACGTTGTCGAGTAGTTGTATTGATTTTGGCTCTTTTGGAATTTGACGTAGATTTTATTTTGTTTTCAGTGGGTAATAAATAATAATTTCTTCAGCGCGTTGCATGAAAATATGTTTTCATGTGATCAAAAGTTAAAAGTATTTAATAAAAAATAAAAAACAACAATTTTTAGTTAATTTCGAAATCTAAAAAAATAATATATTTTATCACGTATGATATACGCAGTTTTATTTTACCTATACTTACCCACTCATTTTCTTATACTAATAATTAGAGATTTTTAGAGAAACCAAAGGATGAATAATTATTAATTAATAATACTCGTAGCAATTACTTCCATTCGAGCTATCCGATAAACAAAGATTCGTGACATCCCTGCTTGTGTAATTGTATATAATTCTCAAGCGGAAATCAAATAAAGCCGAAAATTGATTGTGATTCAAAAATCAATATATTATTTCAATGTCTTATGTGGCATTAAAGTAGTTGGTAAACTTGAAATGTTTACTGTTTAGCAGCTCATAATTATTGGATAATTAGTTTTACAAAATAAATATTTTTAGGGTATTTAACCTAACTTAACCTTTAAGTTAAGAACATTACCTGAGTCACTAAGTTGGGTTTTTATGATATTTAAATTTTTATGTAAGTTGTGGGAGTGAAATTAAAAAAAAAATGCTTATAAAGTGCTTAAAAATTAAATCATGGTAAAAAAAGTCAACGTAGAGTAATAGATTATATTCTTAACTAAAAGTTTAATAGTTTATGAATTTACTCTAATAATGAAAGTATCGAGGGTTAGTTCTGCTAAATGTGAATTTGCTATATGGTACACATCTTCTTAAATGTAAACTTTTTATTTAAAAACTGATGCTATAATATTATACAGCTGATACCAAATGTATATTATGTATAACTTAATAAATTACATGTCTTTTAAGAATAATATTCTAATAGAAAGTTACAAGAAAGGTTACCGTCAACGACCTATAAAACAAATGGTTAATTAGAGTTAACCGTTGCGTGGTTGTAATAAAAGTATGAAAAACATGATAAGACCTCATCACTCCTATTTAAATTTCAAATTATAATACTTTAATTATAATTGGCAAAAAATTTTTTTCAGATAAGAATACACGTATAGTCATTGATTATGTTAATAAGAAAACAGCAGTTAACGGTACTACTAAGTAATATAATACGTATATTTTCTATGTTAAATTAATACATAACATTTTAAATATTATTTAAAATTTAAATGTATAATACATTAAAATATATTTCATCATATCCCTCGAAGCTTGAACTTTTGGTGCTGTATAAATGGGTGAAATACTTTAGTTTTTGGGTATAGTATGGAATTCTGAATACTTTTTAAACACTTTTCTAAAATTATTTTATCGAACATTCTGTATACTTAAAACATTTTAGGAATTTCTTAAAAAAAATGTAATTTGTAGGTATGTCGTTTAATTTAATATTTTTGTTATTTATTTGTGTTCTGTGGTATGTTACGGATATTTTAAAGTATTTAAATTAACTATAATGTTTACTTTATAAATGTTTTGATATATTTTATCACAATTACTTTAAAAAAATATTTCAAAAATAGTTATACTTTTCTCGGTACCAATACGGCTAAACCAAAACGTAAATCGTAATATAGAATAAATACTTGCAAAGTGATTCAATTAATTATTATTACACTCATTATTTCGAAAAGTTTAAACTTATCATTATAAAAAATTAGGAATCTGTAGGAGTTACAAATTACAAAAACTGATACTATACAACTCTATATCGCTGCAATTACAGATGTCAATAACCACTAAAAAAAAATGGGAGAGTTATCGTTACTGCTTTCAAATACATCGATGTTGTGTAATTCAAATTATAGAGGGGTATTATCTATTTGGCCCAACAATTTATGAAAACAAAATTCTAAGTTTAGATGCTTTAAATTTACATTTACTATATTATAATGTTGTTGATCAGGTTAGTTCAATTCCAACTATAATCACCGTTACACAGTACACTATTATTGTAATAGAATTGTATTATTATGAGCCTTATGAGCCACAATTATTTATAAGATGTTCGCGTCTACAGTCATTATTATGCATTTATGGATGTCGACTGTCCAAAATCTGAACACATATTATAGTTATTTATCATAATATTTTTGTAATACGAATCGTCCATCGTGACCGCGATGTTCAATATTATGCGTAGGCAAGTCTGCATTAACTAGATTCGTAATAACATTATACATAAATAAGTACCTATGTCACGGGCACCTACATAAAAAAGTTGGTGTATAATACTCGTTTTAAAGTGCAAAAAACTTAATTCAACTTAGTTAATAGGCACTTAATCTACTTGAAACATTTTCGCTCTATTTTCATTGGAAGTTTAACCAAAAAAAGAGAAAAAATAAATTTTTTTAAATGAAGATCTCTCTCAAATCTCAATAACTGTTTCAAAAAACCTATTTTTCTGTTTGTGTTCTTTTAATTCGAATGTTTTAAAATTATTTATTGTAAATTACATATAATATAAGTGCAAGTAAAAAAAATCTCCAAGAAGTTGCAAGTAAGAAAATACAGGAGTAAAAATCTGATTATCTGTCATATTCAGGATAACAAATACAAATACTAAAAAGGAACAATATACTAAAAGCAAAAAAAAAGAGGTATATTTTTTCAAACACTCGAATTTAGTGCCTTAAAAGTTAAGACACACATTTAAAAAAAAAATCGAAATAAGCATGGTATAACTGCATTTATGCTGATAATAGTTAACACCTTAAAGTTCTTTATACTGAAGACTGAACCGTTTAACAAGAAGTGCCGAACACACAATCCATCCACCCAGTGAGCATCCCTCATCTATAACATTATAGTATTATGATAATTTATCACGGTCATTATGTATGACATAATAAACAATAATATCGTGTTATTGTTTTCTCCTATGAATTTTGGTGTTGGTAAGTCTCTGTTTCGTTTCGAACTTTAGAGCGTATTGTGCGCTGCAAACACCCTGTGCATTGATATTCCGACGACGACGTATAGTCACGTGCTGTATACCATATTTTTCCGGATGGTTATACATCTTACCGATTCACGCATAACTTCACATTATTTTTGTATACACGGAAACACGTCACCTTGATTAATAGATGTATACAGTGTTTATAGTATATACACTTCATATTATCTAACAACCACGTACCTACGACGACGGAACGAACTCTTAGCGGATATAAGGGTGAGATGTGTGAGCGTAAAAAATAATCTTCCTAAAGTATTTATTTTATGTATTATATTTAGATCAACTTTTTTAGTGCCTATTCACAATACAATATCCGAATAAGCTTTGTATATCTAATTGAAATATTATAAGGTAGTATTCATTATTTACCAGCTAAACAGAATCGAGCAGTGTACGAATTGAGCGAGTGATAGCCATATTCATAGAAGTAGTACGTTGGAATTGTCCTTATTTTTTTCAAATTGGTATCATGTTCAAAAAAAGTTATGTTCGAATCTCATTAGATTGCAAAATAACTTATTTGATGAAAAATATCAGTCGATGGTGGAGAGAATAATTTAAAATCTAAAATAATTGTTTTTATTATAATAATTCGATATGTTATATTATATAGCTACAGTTTAAAAATAATAATAACAAATATACTATTTTTCTTTAAATAAGTAAACAATGTTATTAAAACAAGTTATGTTTTTAAAATTAATAAATAGGCAAAAGCTACTATTTAAATACTACAACTTAAGTTACAATTTTAATAAAAGTAATATAAAAATTTTTATTTACGTTTATTTGTTAATAGTCATGCAATAAAACCATTGCAAAATTAAATCGATCAACACTGTAAAGCACATACAATTTTCAGATAAAATTAATATTTATATAAGTCCTATGGAATAATTTAATCGAGTGCAATTCAAACATTACTGTTTTTGGTAATTCGACCATTTTGGTTTAGGTGAGGAGTGCAGTAGTTTCTGAAATAATCTATATAGTTACCTAAGTCTATTTGTATTTGGCTATATGCCATAAGCGCCAAAGGTGTAAAAATTACATATAATTCGAGACAAACTCAGCAATATTAAGTACCAATATAAAACTTACCCAATATATGTCAATGCCAAATTTACAAAAAGTATATATATATATAATTTGTACCAATATAAATATTTTATACAATAATATTAGGATTGATTTTTTAATCATATTTTATAAAATATTTAAAATTATCAATAGTCAATCAATATTAAGTAAAATTTTAATATTGATGATAAAATAATAGGTGGGTATATACAGACTTAATAAAAATAAAAATGAAAATAAGTGAACATAATAATACAAAATGTCTATTTAAACTATTTAATTATTATTTAATCCAGTATTTTTTAAATATTATATTCTACATATTTTTTTCATTGTAAAATGATGCTCTCGTGGGATGATATTACGTTCGAATTTGAAGGAAAAGAATTCACCAAAATATGTTTTCACTTTGTAATTTTAGTAAGCCATAAAATTGTTTTTATGAATACCAATGTTTTAGCTGCATATTTTGCAGTTTGTATATAATCAGG